CATAATAAGCTAAGCCCTGTAAATGTGAATCTATTTTACAGACCTCTTTCAAAACACATTTAACACTTTTTAAATAGCCATTAAAAATGTTCTAAACCCCTGTTTAAATTGGCAGGTAGTATTCAGGTTAAGTACTAAGCCAGTCAGTCACAAGACTTATCAAATCAATAAATATTTTTAAATGCTCAGAGTGTAGAATTTAAGAGCAATCAATTCAAGTTGAGTCCATTCCTCTGTGCTGTCATTTTGGATAATTGTTTAGACAGCAAAGACAAGAAAGATAAATTCACATATTCCTCAGGATAAAAAAACCTTTGTAGAGAAGTCTGAACATCTTCTATGCAATTCCTTTTACAATTATTTTGTAGACATGAATGTGAATAAAAACCAAGGCCAATTTTCATATTTAATTTGTTCTAAATTATGAATCAACATCACTAGACATAAAACAAATATAAACTACTTGATAAATTACTCCTTTTACTTTAGTCAAAAGTCAAGTAACTTAATCTCCATTATTCACTGATAACCCAAATCCTTTACTTGATTTCCAGGTCCCTATCTCAGCTACTGCATTCAGAGGCTACCAGACCCATTGACTGGGGTGTGCCCCTCATTCACTTAAACTAACCCAAGGCTTCTTAGTAGAGCACTATTCATTACTTCTAATTCTACTTTGTGTCTTTACTGTTAGTTATTCTTTTGCCAGCTTTAGGCCAGACACAATTGTATCACTTTTCAGTTGTGTTTTATAATAACCAAAAAAACTACATATTTCTGAGGCTATTTCCATAGTTGCAAAAAGACTAATCTGAAGTGATAAAAATGGGTCAAAGCAACACCCTAGATTTCTACCAATTTATTTTGGGGATTTAAGAGATATTTAAATGCTTTTAATTGTGCTAAGAATATCTTAATATTAATACTTCAATATTCAGATGCAATTTTATATTCTAAATAGAGCCTTTTAAAACTGTTCTTATAGATTTTTATTTTATTTATTTATTTATTTAACTAAAAATTGTATTTAGCCAACACTTCTAGATTCTTTTGCTTGTTTGGAATGAGGTTGGTATCTGAGGTTGGTAGAATTAGTAAAGGAGGACACAAAAATATCTTGAAATATCTTGAAATATTTATCAGAGAAAAATTGAGGCAAATACCCTACAATTTAAAAACTTAAATGCCAACACCTCTAAATTATGGGCAATTAAGAACTTAATGAGTTTTTTTAAGAGAAGGAAACCAGTAAGCATATTTAAGGAGTTATGGGACTAATCATTATTCATTAGGACGATTAAAGGGAATTGTGATTTCCAAACCCTGGTTGTCAGCCACAAATAAATCCCCATTAATTGCTCTAGATCTATTGACACTTGCTACATTGGCTTAAAATTTTGGTTTATCGGAAAGATAAAATAGTTACTAAAATTTAAAATAGTTACTAAAATTTAAAATAGAGACGAACCATGAGAGACTATGGACTCTGAGAAACAAACTGAGGGTTCTGGAGGGGAGGGGGGGGATGGGTTAGCCTGGTGGTGGGTATTAAAGAGAGCACATACTGAATGGAGGACTGGGTGTTATACGCAAACAATGAATCATGGAACACTACATCAAAAACTAGTGATGTAATGTATGGTGATTAACATAACATAATAAAAAAATACAATTTATTAACCTTTTACATGAACTATTTAAAATAAAATGATAAGATTGCTATCTATTTTAGCAAAAAAAAATTTAAAATAGAGATATCTACTAAGATTCCAAGTTTATTACTTTTTTAACTTGAAAAACTTAAATACTTTCCTACCCTAAAAAATTTAGAAGGAAAATAATCATCATACAACAATCATAATAAGTACTTCCCCCTTACCATCCACTCTTCAGAGACTTAGATGCATGGCAAAGCCTAAAAAAATGCACATAACAGAAAATATAAACATGTTTTATGAACATTTATATTTTTACTGTAGCTGAACTAGTGTTTTAGTCTCTGAGAGTGGTTTTGATTTTAGTAAAATCAGTAGCAGCTGCTTAGGCAAAGTCAGAAATGTTAGGTGAAATCCCCCTTCTTTATAGAGAAAAATATGAGACAAGATTTAGAGGGATGACTTGGCTCTAATAAATTCATCACAAATTACTAAAGTACATCTAATACATTTGCACCAAAGACATAATGGTTCCTTAAAATTTTATTAAAATGATGGCATTAACAGATGGTATTCAGTAGTACACTATCTGATATATTAATTTATAAAGATTTTGTGTTTTTTTTTTAAATCAAAGTAAAGATAGGTATAATTTAAACTATATTATTATATTGTTATATTTAAACTATTTACTATTTATATTTACATCAAAAAGACCTGTATACTATGAAGAAAATAAAGTCTAGAATAGACCTCTGTGATAAAACACTATCATAGAACTCCAGTTGTCCTGTAATAGAAATATGGCATCTTTCCAAACTTTATTAGCAATTTTAAGGGTTGTTATATGTAAGAATTTTACTTATTTTGATAGTAAGTACCCCATATACTATTAGCTTCCGGATTACTTCATGCAAAAAGAAATATTGTTCAGAACACAGGATTAGAATTACATATAACTTTCTAGAAAAGAACTGCTTGGTATATTAAGTTCTTAGACAAGGCTGAAATCTTTGAGCAATTTGAAAAGACAAATTAGAAATTAGAATCAGCCCAAACTATCAGTTATTCTTTCAAGTCTAATCTTCAAAGAAAAATAAAAAGATACCACTCAAAGTAGCTCCTAGGATGTATTGTCATATTTTCAGTGTTTCCTGACAATGTCCACTTCATTCTGTTATTAGGTATAAAATGTGGCAAGTCTTCTCAATGTGTGCCTGTATTGTTTTCCAGGTGAACAGAATGGTTCTACCAAGATTTCATTACTGTTCACAGTTGGTGCTTTGTAATTCTATGTGATTTTAATTAAAGAAGAATTCTGAAACAGCCTCCCTCTGTGCTACCTACAAGCATACAATTAGCAGAGTACAGTGTCTGCTGTGAACAGTCCGTTAATGATTTCAGTTTAATAATTTATTATTGCTTTTTCAGTGCCAGCCATGTTAGAAAAATAAGCTAAAACTGTATGTAGCAAACAGGCATTTAAAAATGGAAGAGAGTTAAAAATTTCAAAAGGATTGTTTTCTCTGTGTAAGCCTAACATCTTTGCAAGCCCCCAGATCTTTACAAATGAGTGAATACCATTTTCCCTCCTAAGGATTTAAGGAGAAAATAAATTTAGGTTTTCCTTCTAAATGCAGTTGTGTCTAATGGATAGTTTTGATGTCAAAGTATCCTCCTCTCACCACTTAAAAATAAGACACTCAAGTATACCCTTGGAGATGGGGGAGGGGATTATGGTAAATTTATATACTGGTATTAAGTCAAATTTAAAATAGTCTTTTTAAAAAGTCTCTAAATTCTTCAATGAGCTGTTTCCCTAACTTGAAAATCTGGACAAACAAGTTGAGGTGCAAATCCTGATCCTAAAAGGATTTTTAATTTAAGGAAATTACTTTATTATTACAGTAGAAAAATTGAAGCATTTATATTAGTCACCCTTTTCACAAGAAACATAAAGCAGCATCTAAATAATCACCAGATTTTTCAACGAATTTGTACTATATTAGTCTATTCTGAAAGCTGAAACCTCAATTGCAAAGATTGTAGGAGATTTAAGTTTGATAAAAAATGTCAAAAGCAAAGGAACAAAACTATAATTTTAAATGATGTTTTTTAATGTTGGCATTAACAAGAAGAAAATACACTTGATCTAATTTAGTTTCAATTGTGGGTAGAAGACATAATGGGCTATTATAGAATAGTAATGTTTGATGTATGTATGTGTATGTATTCATAATCATTTACATACATATATAATATTTCAATATTCAATAGTTAAAACCATGTTTGCCAATATAAAATTAAGCACCTATTTCTTTAGAAATTAGAGAATTTTAATGCCAGTTAAAATTATGTTATGGTTCCCTTATATATTATTTCTAGATCCTTATTGAAAACTACAAAATTTGGGGAAAGTATCTTAGTAAAGCAAACACAGTTGATTAAAAGTCAGAGCTGTAAAAATCACTTTAACATCATTCTAAAAATGGGTACTTTACACCTAGACTTAGCTGTATTCTATTTTATGTCTACATGACAAAATCATAGAGCCAAAATGGGACTAAGAAGAGTACAATAGTTACACAAAGAGGTGAAAAATATAATTTAGTTTTTCTTCTTCCAGAGGGTAGGGTTAGTGGAGTGAGCAGATAACCCAGACTTAACGAAAAAATATCATTTAAGTGACAGTACCCTTCGTACAACAACAAAAATATAGACTTTACTGCCTAAACATTCATCTGCCAGTTGGTACTTGAGTAGTGAAATGAAACTTCTTGCAACCTAAAACACAGTGTTGTAATTATGTTCACAAATTAGAGCATAAATTATTCAATATAATCATGATGCATTCAATAAAATCTTTATAGTAAATAAGAAATGGAGAAACAGAGTGTTTTACTCACAATAGCAGTGATAACATTGTCCTTAGCATATGGCTCATAAATTCCATATGAGGTCTATGACTTTTTTTTTTTTTTGAGGTCTATGACATTTAAAAAAAAATAGTTCTAAGACCCATTATCATTCTTTCTTTTTATTCTACAGTCACTTTAGAAATCAATCAAAAAGCACTAAAATTCACACCCATTTTGAATTTGTCCAAGTTTTGTAATTCAGTTTATAATTTTAAACAAAATTTTAGCTAGAAAACAGTGAATATCTATTGCTCTTTTCACAATAGCTCATAAAACGAGTTGCTGAAGAAACACTTTAACAAAACAGCAATTTAAAGAACTCTATTAAAATCATGCTCTTTTGTCCCTAAAATGGAAAAATGTATTCTCTGCTTCATTGTGTGTGTTTTTTGAGGATAAGGACAATTGCCAACCGTTTGTTTTTCAGATATTCGGGACAGTGGGGGTCCCAAACCAGTGATGGTGTATATCCATGGTGGCTCATATATGGAAGGTACTGGAAATTTATATGATGGGAGTGTCTTGGCAAGTTATGGCAACGTGATCGTCATCACAGTCAACTATCGACTTGGGGTACTTGGTAAGAAGTCTCTTCTTTTCTTTTCACCATTAATCCATGAAGTATGTGATAGTTTTGTTTTGATTTGTTTTGTTTTGCTTTGCTTTGTTTCATTCATTGTTCTATGCTTGTTGACTTTCTTTGAACCAAAATTTTTGATATTTTCAATAAATTCTATAAGTGTGTTCATAAATTACTTGATGGAAGACAGCTAGGGTTAATTTTAAAATTTGAAGGTAAATGGTAGTGAAATTATTCACATTGTTGAGTGATGTTTTTCCTGGTTTCACTTTATAGCACTGTGAAAGGCAACAGTGTCAGGGCCTTTCAAGAAGAATTAGTCCCTGGACAAATTTTTCCTTCCACCTTTTTTTACAATGCCATAAAATTGCCTGAAATTTGACATGAGTTTAGAAACAAGTTTATAAGTCTCTGAGAATATGCGTATGGACTGGGTTTGGGGAAGCATTGTCTGTCATTGTGGTACAGATTTGGGTTTTTTAAAAATTTGTCAGATAATAATTAGAAATATTTGTCTATTTACGTTGAATTATTTGATTTGGAAAATGTGTTGATTTTATAAGGTGATAAAGAGTTCAAGTCAATAATGTATACACATGTAAAACAAAATCAAATTGGAGATCCTTGGTTTTGAAGAAAATTATAGGGAAATATTATTTGTAAAATAACTTATCAAGTACTCTGAAATACACGTATTGTTTTATGTAATAACCCATTATTAAAAGAGAAACTTGATATTCTACATGTAAAAGTTTATTTTTATAGTATTGGCACAATTTTGGGAGTAAAATTACTTTATCATTTAATAAGACACTTCTATTACGGTATTTTAGTTAAGAGTATTTGCTAAAAGAGTACAATTTATCACAAAAGATTTCATCTTTTTAATCTTAATTATTCTCAAAATTTTATCACATACTATACGCTTTTTAGAGGCATATAATTTATGCTGTTACTTGCAACAAAAAGGCACCTCACACTTTCATTATCTAAAAGATTTTGAAAAAGGAATTTAAGTTATGTCTTCCTTTATAATAATTGTTCATATCATATATTTTGGTCATTGAGAATCAGTTTTTTTTCCTCTTCAGTGTTAGTTACTTCTATGTAATTATAAGCCTATGTTCATGTCAATCTCAAAATACAAAAAAAAAGAATAGTTTTTGTCAATCAAGTTTGTATGTCTTGGGGAAGGAGATATTTTAGCAATGCAAAGTGAAATCTTGATATTTTTCTACTTTGTTATTTTGATTTTGGAGTATGGTGGACAATAGATATACCATGGGCAAATATAGGTATAAAATATTTCTGTAACATTTTTCAAGTACACATTAGTTCCACATAGTATCTAATCAGGCACTGATTGCTTCAGATGTTCTTATAATTTCAGTGGGCAGGAATGAATGTTTTCCCACCAATGAAAACTGTGTATCGGAAAGATGTATAAAGAGGTGTTCATAATCATCTTAATTTTAAATATAAATGTTGTCATTTGGTTTTACGCAAGACTTTAATAGAATTTTCAATATTTTAATACATTTAACTTTATAGTATTATTTATAGTTCAGTTGTTTTTATTATTATTCTCATATTTTTCTGACTTTCTCAAGTTAAAAATCCTGAAGCAATGACCAGTTTGCCAATTGAAAATTTAAAATTAAATGCCACATTCTATACAGCAATGTTTTCAAGGACTTGACCATCCACTTAATCATATGTATTTATTTTATTAAAAAAAATCTTTTAGTCATACCTTATGTTGCCTCATTCTTAGTTGTACTCACATAAAGTAAGATTCCATAAAATGAATTGTTATAGTAATAAAGCTTTGTCCATTTTTTATGTATAACTGACAAGGACCTGACTTTGATCCAATTTGAATCCTATATTTATGTTCATATCCTTTCTCTAAATACCACGCTCTGAATGACTGAATTGCAGGACAGCAGACTAAATAGCTAAAAAATGAAGAAATCAGTCAATTGCTTGGTCTGTATAATGGCAAGCAGAGTTGGTGTAGATGATGGATGATTTTCTCAATGATAGCTAAATACTCGTTCTGCTCTACTGCAGTTTAGGATTTAACTTTCATTTGGCTCCATTGTTGTTCTTAAACACATCATATACTGATAATCAGCATTAAGAACCAGGTGTCCTTTCTAGACCTCTCAATATGATAAAGTACAAAACTCTGTTAGTAAACATTTTTAGGCGCATCTTGGAACACTGCTTCTGGAACAGGTGTATGTATCCTGGTCACTTTGTTCCTGAAATGTGTATTGCGCCTTGTGAAAATATACTTAAATGAATTAATTCATGAGAAATAAATTATTGAAACATTTGTTTCAGCACACTTTGCATGTGTAGTATACCACAACTAGAACAACAGCTCATCTGACAACAATAAAGATCTACAACAATAAAGACTATAGGGTTTTTGTTGCTGTTAATAATTTGTCTAATGGTAACAAGGTAAGCCAAGGTTTCTTGGGTATGGGATCCAAAAGTATTGCTGTTTAGTTTTCATTTGGGAGAGTGTTGGAAGTTGGTAGAAAATAAGATTTGATTCCACATTGGAGGGAATCCTGAGCTGTGTTTTGATTTGGATGCTTTGGTGTAAAGGATATGAATTTGGGGGTTCAATGTACAATTGGCTAATTACAAGACTATTGCTCTCTGAAGATTAGCAGAAAAAAAATCAAGATGTCTGAAACAGGTAATGTAATTAGTGTTGATTTGAATTTGCCATCCCAGAGGAGAAATATTACAGGTTTTATTTGTTTGTTTGTTTTAGCAATAAGTAAAAATGTGATAATGTTTTAGTAATAAAATTCATACAGCTATCTAGAGGCAAGATTCTAGTTTAAAGCATTTCACATTGAAAAAAAGATTTTGTTCACTGCAAAGTAGAAGTGACATAGAGCTATCTCCTATTATAACATTGCTCTGATGGACCTAGGAACAGGTGGAAGTTAGTTTGTCAACTGAGACATTTTGTGGTTTCCTTTGGCATGGTAACATAGACTATCACTATTATAGTATTGGAAATGCTATTAGTGATCATAAGGAAAGCTGCTAATAAGGTTGAGAAAAGGGAAGGGGGTACAGGGCTCTGTCTGCTAATCTCATTTCCCCTGTTTTGTCTGAGAGGTCTCTGTAACCGCATCTCATTCAGTCTCACCCATCCAGCGAACATTTAGACTTTCTTTCACTTCTGGTTGTATACATTCTTTTTCCTCAGTGTTTTAACTCTTCATCCTCTGTTATTTGGCACATTGTTGTGTAGTTCTTTAAAATACATTAAAAAATATTTGTTAACAGAATTATTTTTAATATTATAGTACATAGTTAATAAAACTATCATAATGGAAATTTAAGGAGAAATGTTTTGATTAGATGTCCTTAAAGGAGGGAAATAATGTTGAGTATTATGGTTGTAAGTGGGATAAATATATGTGCTTATGGACAAGAACTGGAAGGAAATAAGAAATAAATTGTTCACTATTAGGATGGGATATTGTGCAATTAACACTTTTGAAAAAAGAAACTATCCAAACGATATGTTTTCAGATCTCAAAAATGAAAAAAATACATGAACTAATTTTGTGTTAAAAATATATCTCAACTGCCTCTTTAAATTTAGAATAAATTTAATAGTTATTTTTAGAGAAAATGAAAAAGTTTTATACCACTGTTAGGAACTAATTTAGGCAAACACGACTTTTATCAGATGGAAATTTAATGTTACTTTTATCTTGGTATGGATATTTTAGAGGCAATTATGTGTTCATAATTCTAGCCCATGTGATTTGGCAAATTTTAGGAGTCTAATGTTATACTTAGTAATCTAATGGCTATACCACCCCTCTCTGGGAAAAAAAAAAAAAATTGAAGTGCATCTACTTGTATTTGAAGAATTACACTTAGCTTACTTTATAATGCCATGTGGGCTAAATCATTTAAAACAAATTTTTTTTTTCATATTTGAATCTGAGCAGTTCAGTAGCAAGGAGATTTGGTAAAGTCTAGGTAATGCTTATAATTTAAAACGAAAACATATTAATTTCTGAAGTGGCACAATGTTTAGTCATCACTCTTGGTATTTACCATGTCTTTTTTTTTTTTTTTTTTTTTGCCTTGTTTTAATTTCTGCTTGGCTCTAAATCCTAAAACAGACAAATAAAAATCTTTAAATGTGACCATATAGTTGGGAGTAGTATATAATAAGATATTAAATTTTATATGATGATCCAAATATTTTCTTGGGAGGTAGAAGATGGAGTCAGGCTGTCCTTGAAGTGTCAAAAATGTCTTCATGGAATTGGTTTTATTTGAGCAAGATCATGAAAAATAGTTTATCTCTGGGATTAACCGAAGGGAAGAGAGAAGCACTTTCTTTCAGTTTCTCTTTATTTCTACTTCAAAAAAGTGTAGATAATTTGTGACAAAAGCACACATATAAATAAATTGCATAAAGGAATACATATACTATAGAGAAAAGTTACAGAAACTTAGGCCATGAGCATGTATTGGAATTGAATGTAAATATATATATTTCAATTTCCTAGGAGAAAGGTAAAAAGGATAATGAATTGAATTTCATAATTGTTCCATATTAATCAGTAAAAAAATACACAGCTCTTTCTCAGTATACTCTAGCAAAATTTATCATATGGCTTGTTTTTATTTGGAGCAATGAACAATATTGAGACCATGTGATAGTTTTGATGTCATTAGAAGATGCAGATATATTCTCAGTATATGATTACTTACATTAACCCTCTGTAAAAGCCAAGGACATAATAATAAATGCCCACAGTTTCTATAGTGTCATTTCAAAAGACCTAACCAAGTGCAATTCAAGGAAGATATTTGGTGATTTCACTTATAATAGGATAGAGCTAAAAACTAATTGAGAGCAATGGACAGTTAACTCGGTCCATAGATTTATTTTCTCAAATATCTTATATCAACTGGGTTTTAATAATGGCTGGATGGTA